GTATTAGTTAAGGTTATGGTAAGGGGCTAGGGAATGCATTATGTGAAAGACTTGCCCCCAAGACCATGGTGTGTGTGTGTGTGTGTGCGTGTGTGTGTGTGTGTGTGTGTGTGTGTGTGTGTGTGTGTCCTCAGTGAACTGTATCAGTCTCTGCAGTAACTTCCAGCTGCAGCAGTCAGTTCAGTTTCTGTTCAGTCTGACTGAGGGAGGTTTTTGTACGACACTTTTTCACTGTGGGAACACAGGTTGACTGTTGATCCATTTATGACTCTGACAGTAGTAAACTGCTGCATCTTCAGCCTGAACTCCACTGATGGTCAGAGTGAAGTCAACTCCATTCCCTGCTCCACTTCCACTGAATCTGGAGGAGATTCCAGAAGCTCTGCTTGTTGTTGCATAGATAAGAGGTTTAGGAGCTTCACCAGTTTTCTGTTGGTACCAGGACAGGTAGTATTGTGAACCAGTGTAGTGACCAGCTGCTGGACTGGACTTACAGTCAATAGAGACAGTCTGACCCAGCTGCACTGATTTGGCTGCTGGCTGAGTCACGACAAGATTTTGTCCAACAGACCCTGAGGAGAGAGAAGAAACACTGGACATGAGATGGTGAGGTGAAACTCAGCTACACTCCAAATGATTTTCACATCACAGAAAAATGATTTTCCTCACCCTGAGTGAAGCAGAGGAGAGTCCAGATGAGGACGGAGACCAAAGTCATGTTTTTGATGAGGAGGATTTCTGTGGCTTCTGTTGTCATGAAGGACAGCTGTCAGTCATCCAGTGTTCAACTCTCAGGACTATAAAGTCTCCCAGAGCACTGGAGCATGGTGCTGCTGATGCAAAGTGGCTCTCTATGGAAATGCTCTGACTGACTCCAACAGGGACTTGGATTACTCTGATGATGCTGCTTCTCAATGGATCAATACGTTTACCAGAGGATTGATTAGGAATGTGTCAGTGATCATTTTTATGGACATCTGCTTTGATGACTGCAGAAAGATTTTCTTTTACAACATCTTCTGTCTGCTTTCATTTCATTCTAGAGGGATCAATTTGACTTTCAGACCAATGGAACAATATATACGTAAAAATGGGATTCATTCTCAACAACTGTGTCACTGTTTGATAAATATAACATGAAATAGTTCATTCTTTTAAAAACAGCAAGTGTTTTTGTTGAGTTTGTTGTGTTCAAAGTCAGAGAGCCGTGTCTCTCTACAGTGAGAGGTTTGGAAGTAAGTTTCTGCACAAATATTAAATATCGTATCATCAGCGAAGGTTTTAATTTCTGTGTCTGAACATTTGTAGTAGATATAAATTTCCTCTGGACTGATTTAAATCACTTTAAAGACTCAATCTTATTGTTAGTTTCTCCTGTTTAACCATGAAGCTGAACTCAAAGCAGCTTTACTGAACTTCTCTTTAAACGTTCCATTTAATTTGTGAAATGTGAACAGCTTGAACTGCAGCAAAGATTAAAGAACAACACTCGTACTTTAAAAATGATTCAGCCTTTAATTCTGCATTTTAAACTGTTTAGAAGTTGAGTTAAAATTATTTTGAATAGTGTGAATGAAGATAAAAATGTTTCCAAATCTCTGATCTTCTAAAATGGCTCAAATTGTCTTTTAACCTCGGTTTGAAATAATGTTGACAGTTCTCTGATGCTGTTTTTAAATCTGTCTGAGGAACAGGTTACCTGTGGTCGTCTCTTATTTTGGGCTGATAATGTCCTTTAACAGTGGATCTCATTAACTTTTGCCTTTTGAGAGTTTTGACAGTAAATATGTTTTTTGTATTTCCAAATTTAAAACCTGGTTGTTTTATTTCCAGTGCAGTTTGATATCTTTCAGCTCATATGAGGACTCTTTCTGTGCTGATATGCATGAGAGGTTTCTTAAAGGAAGTGAAACAATGTGTGAGTGAGTGACTGGTGGAGCAGAAACCAGCTGTGTGGTCCCCGTCCTCTAAGCCGATTGGTTCTTCTCCTAGGTGATGCCCGTCCCACCCTGACGGTGCTGCCCCCCTCCAGCGAGGAGCTGCAGCAGGGGAAGGCCACGCTCATGTGCCTGGCCAACAAGGGCTTCCCCTCAGACTGGAGTCTGGCCTGGAAGGTGGACGGCAGCAGCAGCAGCAGCAGCAGCAGCAGCAGCAGCAGCTGGGAGGAGAGCAGGAGCCCCGGGGTGCTGCAGAAGGACGGCCACTACAGCTGGAGCAGCACCCTGAGGCTCTCTGCAGACCAGTGGAGGAAGGTGGGCTCTGTGACCTGTGAGGCCACCCAGGGCTCCCAGACTCCGCTCTCAGAGACACTGAGGAGAGACCAGTGTTCCCAGTCCTGACCTGACTCACTGGGACTCTGCTACTGGTTTTCCTCTGCTCCTGCTCTCACTCTGCACTCTGCAACTGTCTCTCTCTTTTATTTGACATCTTTCAACAGCAAGATTTACTAGCTTGTTGCACTGTTTCAATATTATTTCAGTGTTTCCAGATAATAAAGACCTTTTCATCTAATCAGCTGTTTTCATGTTTATTATTATCAAAGTGTCTTAATAAATGTTCTCTTGATGGTATCGGTGAATGTATTACATCCAGAGAAACTGGGCTGACATAATGGTAATATCTCCACAGTAAATTTTTAAAAATGTCACAGTACAGTTGGATTTGTACAAACCAGTGATGTTAGCAGTATAAGGCCAATTATCAATAATACTATACAAATAATCATTTGGTCAGAATTAATATGAATGCCTAATGGCTGTCAAACACTTGCTACTGTAGTCGTTAGAGATTTGTCTGTAATAATAAACCTTTGGAACAAAACCCAATGTAGAAACCCCTCAATCATTTATCATCCTATCATCTGTTAATACAGATGCTTTAATGATACTTATTGTGTTATTTATATAAAACTACATGTCTGTCATAGAATTTACAAACCTGAAATATAAAGCACCATATCATCAGCATAGTGAGAAATAAAATGAGTAATCTGCTATTCTAAGCAGGAACTATTAACATTCTTCTCCTGCTGAAGAACTTCAAAGACAAATTAAAGATGACAAAAGGAAAGAATTCAAATTTTAGTGATTTACTTACTCCATAAACCCTTTTTGGTTTCAATCATAAAACACATTTTTTGTTGGAATACAAAATACATAAATTTAGCTGACGCTTTCAAAGTGACTTACAATATGTCAGAGGTCGTACACCTCTGGAGCAATGAGGGGGTTAAGTGTCTTGCTTTGGACACATTGGTGTCTCACAGTGGATTCGAACCTGAGTCTCTCACACCCAAGGGATATTACATCCAGAGAAACACTGAGAGAAATCTTTCTCCGGGATGATTTTACAAAGAATATGTAACATAATGTCATGTAAATTCATTAGGGCTGGATCTGAATATGTGAATATTCAAATATTCGACTGTTGGGTACACATTTGATTTTCAATGTCGAGATTTGATTATTGAGTGGGTTTTTTCACGCTCCTGAACTCCGCCGACAGCAGTGAACATAATCCAACGCTCCAGTTCACATCAAAGGGAAAACAAAACGAAGCCCTGAGTTGTGTGAGAACACTTTAAACTGAGTGAGGACAGCAGTACTGTGGAAGTTATGGCGTTTATTAATTTTACAATTGCTTAATTACAGATCAAAACAGTCAAATTTCCTACATTTTAAAATTAATAAGTAGGCCTAAACTCCAGGCTACCACAAACAAACAACAACATAATGAGCACTTTTAAAATGATATTAGGCGATTGTAGAAGAAGAGCATTTAGTCGCTATAATAAAAGTCAAAAGTGAATTTTGCATTATAACGTGTTAGATTTAGTTCCGCTACCGAAAATAAGCTCATCCCGTCTGCTCTCTGCCTGGACCCCAGTCTGTCTAAACTATTCCCGGATTCTGCTCTGGACCTGCTCGGATCAGACTCTCTCACTCTTGACTCTCACTTATGGTTCCCCCCCTGCTCTGTACAGCAGCGATCAACCCGGTTCGGCATCCCTTTACCCTGCAATAAATATTCCTCTTTTATTTAAATCCTCTCTCTCTTAGTCCTGCACTTGGGTCTGCTAGCCTTGCCATAACAAAGTTAAAAATCAAATATTTGGTAGCAATCCATTAGTTAGCCTATATGAGAATAAATTAACTGAGCTCTCTCTCTCTCTCTCTCTCTCTCTCTCTCTCTCTCTCTCTCTCTCTTTTTCTCTCTCTCTCTCACGCGCACACACAGACAGAAGCACCCATGCCGGCTGTTATCTCTCCCCCATCTGATCCTCCCTCACTCAGCAGAACTTCTTGGGCATTTATCCTTCTTCTGCTGCTTCTATCTTTGAAATACATAGCTGTAGCTCATGAAATGACAGCCTGCTTATCAACACACGTTTAAACAATTAGCATAACGGTGTAAAACCAAAATGTGTGACCTATCAGATTCTGTGACTACATCAAACGATGATGTTCTCCTAACCATAACCAAGTACTTTTGTTGCCTAAACCCAACCAAACTGCAACCCCTTCACATCGTCAACAAAGCCTCTGGCGCTTAACTTCTCATTTGGGTGACAGAATCTGATAGGTCACACATTTTGGTGTCACAACGGGACCGCTGAGCGCCATGGCGGCCCAATTTGCACATTTTCACTTAGGAGTGTAGGGCTACTTACTTTTGTCACCAGCGGTTTAGACATTAATGGCTGTGTGATGTGTTATTTTGAGGGGACAGCAAATTTACACTGTTATACAAGCTGAAGAAAGATACGTAAAAGTTGACCAAAGGAAACAATTCAAATATTAATGATTTACTACTTTCATACTAAAATGAATTTGTTTGCTGGAATAAAAAACACAATTTAATTTATAAATACACGTTGTTATAAACATGACTAGTCATTTAACTGCAATTAATGAAATTAATTTTTGCATCAAAGTATATTTGAGATTCACGGAAAAAATGGTAAGATATGAAATAATAAATAATATTTACAATCTGTGTGTCCTTGTGTTTTCATGAATATCACACACATCATAATTCAACAGAGGTTAGCTTTAATGTTCAGAAGAATGGTTCAAAATCTGTTTTAATAAACATATTAGAAGTATAACTTCTAGAATATTATATATTAAAGAATATTTAGTGTTGCAATCATTAATGTGAATAATTATTGGCTAAATGTGCATTTTTATAAACCTCTGTTTTAGTTTCAGTGCAGCTGTTGAGTCAGATCAGTTCCTCTCCAGCTGAGGGAGGTTTTTGTACGACGTTGTATCACTGTGTGAGTGGATAGCTTTGATATTGCTGACAGTAGTAAACTCCTGAATCTTCAGCCTGAACTCCACTGATGGTCAGAGTGAAGTCAGTCCCAGATCCACTTCCACTAAAACGATCTGGAACTCCAGACTGACGAGTTGTAGCTGCATAAATCAGGAGTTTAGGAGCTTCTCCAGGTTTCTGAAGGTACCAGCTGAGGTAGCTGTAACCAGAACTAGTAACACTTGCACTGGTTTTACATTTGAGAGAGACAGCCTGTCCTGGAACAACAGACTGAGATCCAGGAGACTGAGTCAGGATGATTTGTCCTGATGAACCTGGAAAAGATGAAAAAGAGGAGAAGGGTTATTGAGACAAATCCAGCTTGGAGAAAGATGATCAGCATCCAAACAGAAGAGTCTCATTTCTTTAAGATGGAGAACAGATGGAAGAAGGTAAATGCTGCTTGTTTCAGTGTTTCTCCATCACAGCAGAACATCATTGTGGTGAAGCTGGTTGCATCCTGAAGCAAAGTTTTCAGAAGAGAGTCTCACCCTGAACAAGGAGCCCCAGGGTGGCCAGCAGTAGAATCAGTGACATCATCATTGTGCTGCCGGCGTGTCAGTGGCTCTGAAAGGCCTGGACAGCCACTGATCAACACTGGCCTCTTAACGGCTGGGAGCAGAGAGGCAGGACAGATATGCAAACACACAGAGTCAGTGAACTGTAGCTGTCCTCAACATATCATGCTGTTTCCTCCTCACTGCTGGGACAGCTGGCTCACAAACAGGCTATATTTGTGACATGAAAGAACCAAATTAGAAGGTTTCAAATTGACCTCAAACTGTCTTTGGGTTGAATTCATTCAGCAGAGGGAGGAGGATTCAGACTTAGACAGTCAGGGCACACAGGGACTGTTCAGTCATTTATAGATCAAAGTGAAGATGAAAAAGCTTCCTGGCAAGTCAGAACAGATGTAACTGAGAATCCCCAGGTGATCAGGAATGTTGCAGTCCCTTCTTATGTATTTGTTGCCATTCAATTTCCCTTTTTCCCATAAATTTTGACTGAATGTCAGCGTTCCTCTGGGTTGATTAAAGGATCATTCAGATCACCTGTTGCACCGGGTGTGGGGACTGACTCCTCAACAATGATTGAGAGCAGCTTGGTGATTCTCCTTTTAGTAAATCAGGGTGTGATGACGCCCATTCTTGAAAGCATAAGAGAGGTGGGCAACTGCACACCCAGGGCTAGTGAAGTGCTGCAAGAACTGAAACCTACGTGTTGCTACCTGCCACTATGTATAAATTATTTTTAAAAAAGTTTCCTTAATCATAAATATCTGCCGTGACAGCAAACTGTATGAAGGCAGTCTAAACTACAATTCGTGCTTGATGACCAGTGGTGTCAAGCACATTAACTCAGAGTGTGCACGTTCAGTCAGTCAGTGTCGTCCCTCAGACAGCATCACGACCCAGAAGTTTATCCATGACTTACGGTTCATGAGTCTTTCACGAGTTATACATTTGCATAAGTAGCTCTGAAGGGTTGCCTGAACAATCTTACCTGCTGATCCCACAGCTGTTCACAACTCCTCCCTTGACAAGGAGAGTGCATTTTAAACTGGCATAACACAGGTTAATTATAATCAATGCACGTAAAAGATGCAAACGATTTTAGTATAAAGCCATAGTGACTTCTGCTAGGCACAGTACAAGACATAACATAAGATGTAACATTATTAAATAAATTTCAGTCGACACAGCAGCATAAAGGATTATAAACGAACAGAAACAGTATTATAGAACTATCAACACACTATTTACACTATACAATCAATAATGATCACTTACAGACATGCAGCAGGGTGGACAGGTAAATGTTGTCCTTTTCTTATCACTTTGACACAGATGAAAAATATGGATTAATGGGGTATTTAACTAACTGTTGACGTTCAAAGTAGGCTAATTAGCTTCTGTATGGACGGCCTCACTAATGTCACATTTTGCCTCATTAAATGTGTGTCTGTATCAGGAATATGCTCTTCTATAAAAGTATGTTTTAAGAAAAGAGTTCTCTGACGCTGGACAGTTATCACTGTGTACCGTTATAGCCAATACATTTGATGTCATTAGAAGGAAAACTGTTGGTTGCTGCTAAACAGCGGGGAGGCGATGAATGGTTAAAACGTTTAAACAAAATCCGACAGATGATCCTGGGAAAATGGATCGGTTGGCAGCTGGAGGTCGGAAAAGAGGAGAACTAAAAAGAATGGAGAAGCTGAAGAAAACAGCAGGTAGGCACAACTATGTTGAGAATGGGCCAGCGTGGGGAGATTCTGACATAGCCGATAGTGACGGAAGCATGGAGATAAGTCAAGATGGTGGGAAAATGAGGGACAAAAGAGAAAATACTTTTGCTGGGACCAGTACAAAGAGGATCAGGAGTAATGAAGAGTACAAGAAAAGATTAAAGCAAAAAGGTCAAGAAGGGCTGGAGTTTAAAATCATACTGAGATTTGGTGAGAGGAGGGGGAATTTCGTCAATGGGTCCGGTGAAATTGACAACTGTCTTGAGAAACCAGGTCGGGGACATTGTAGTAGCCAAGGTGTTGAGAGATGGCAATTTAATGATCGGTTGTAAAAACAAAGAACAGAGAGAGCGGGCTGGAAGGATTAAAGAAATTGGGAGATTCAAAGTAATAAGTACAAGCCAAATTGAAAGAGGAAGTAAGTGGAGTAAAGGAGTGATTTGGGGGGTGCCAGTCGGAGTTACAATGGAGGAAATCAAATCAAATCTAAAAGGAGGAAGTCTAAAAGGTTGCAGGTAACTCGGGAGGGAGTGAGGAAGGACAGTGAGCATGTGGTACTGGAGTTTGAGGAAGAAATGCTCCCAAAGAATGTAACACTAGGTTTTTTGAGTTCTAGCGTAAGAGAGTATGTACCGAAACCAATGAGGTGTTACAACTGTCAAAGGTTTAGACATACAGCAAATGCATGTAAAGGCAGAAGAAGGTGTGCTAGATGTGGAGAAGATCATGAGTATGGTCACTGTAATCATGAGCAACCAAAATGTTGTAACTGTGGGGGAAATCATAGTGTGGCTTATGGGGGATGTGAGGTGATGAAAAGGGAAATTCAGAATAAGGTCACATATGCAGAGGCAGTGAAGATGGTCAGTAAGAGTAGGGGGAGTGAGGAAAGAAACAGAGATGAAAGACAACCCATTACAGAACCAGATCAGGCAAAGGAGGGAATATTAATGGTGGATTTAAAGAAGCTAGTCACTTTCACAGCAGAGGTTAAACTCTAAAACAGAGAGAATACAGATAATCGTAAAGGCAGCAGCTCATCACCTAAATATCAGCTTATAGGGTTAACATGGGAGGAGGTGAGGAATGAGCTTAGCAGTCAAGCAAGCCAGGAGCAAGCATGGGTTGGATAATATTAATAATGGTCCTCTTGCTACAATGGAATACTAGAAGTTTGTTGGCCAATGGACAGGAATTTAAAAAGTACATTGATAATCTCCCCAATAAACCAGATGTCATTTGTGTACAGGAAACATGGTTGAGACCAAATTTAGATTTTAGTATAGTAGGATATGCCTCTGTTAGGTGTGATAGGGGGGATAGAGTAGGGGGAGGATGTGCAACATTTATTGGGAATGATATTCCATTTAGAGAAATGAGTGTAGGGGGAAAGAGCAAGAATATGTTACTGTAGAGATATGGACAAGTGAGGGAGAGCTTGTAATTATAAACTATTATAATCCTTGTAGGAAATTAGAGTTGGGGCGGCTGACACAAATGGTGGGGCTGGATGGTCGTATGTGGGGACTTTAATGCACATGGCACGTTATGGGGAGGAGTAACAGATGCAAATGGTGAGGTAATAGAAGAACTGCTAGAAGAGAGGAACATGGTTTGCTTAAATGATGGGAGAGGGACTAGAGTAGATGTGCACACAGGGAACACGTCGGTATTAGATTTAACTTTAGTTTCTAGGAATTTAGCGGGAATGTGTGAGTGGGATCGATCAGAAGAAACATCAGTAGGTAGTGATCATTTTCCAGTATGGTGTAGTGTTTTATTACAAAAAAATAAGAAGCAAGGGGAATTAGTGGGGAAGTGGGTATTTAGCAGTGCAAAATGGGAAAGGTTTAAATATATATGTGAGATAGAAATGGATAAAATTGACCTAAATGAGGAAATAGAGGAGACTGATAAAAAGCTTAAAAAAGTAATACTACAAGCTGCCAAAGAATCAATTTCTAAAAGTAAATGGAAAATGAAGAGAAAGGCAGTTCCCTGGTGGACAGATGAGTGTGGGAAAGTAGTGAAAGAAAGGAATAAAGCCCTCAGGTTATTAAGAAGAACCCATAATTTTCACAATTTAATTAAATATAAAGAAACAAAGCTGGCAGGCCTTTTGTGGTAAAATTGGTAGAGCAACACCTGTCGGAGATGTGTGGAACATGATTAAGAACATGCGAGGAATCAGAAGGGAATGGCGGTATCCAGTACTGAAGATGGGGGAGGAAGCAGCAGTGTCTGATGAAGAGAAGGCAGAGATGATAGCGAAGGCACTTACTCTTATCCATAGTTCCGATATCTTGACGGAGGAAGGTAAAAGAGCAAGGGCAATGACAAGATCAGCGCATGGTGACTTACTTGAAAATAGGTTTGATACTAACAGTACAATGGATGCTCCAATTACTATGGAGGAAATGAGGAGGGCAATAGCAAGATCTGGACTAACATCTCCGGGGAAGGATGATATCTGCTGTGTAATGTTAGAACATTTAGGTGTTTTAGCATCTACTAAATTGCTAGGTTTTTATAATAAAGTATGGGAAATGGGGAAATTGCCAGCTGGGTGGAAAGAATCAATACTTATTCCTATCAGGAAACCAGGGAAGGATTCGTCAAGTCCAGTGAACTACAGGCCAATAGCACTTACGTCACATATAGGAAAGATAATGGAAAGAATCATTACAGAAAGAGTATCATTTTACATGGAAAGCAGAGGAATTTTATCACCTCATCAGAGTGGATTTAGGAGGAGTAGAGGAACTATGGATCCTGTTATGGACTTAGAAACAGAGATAAGGAAAGTTAATAAAGAATCTGTAATGGCAGCGTTCTTTGATGCAGAGAAGGCATATGATATGGTTTGGAAGGAGGGATTAATGATAAAATTAAAAATGATCGGAATAACAGGTAGGACATATAACTGGATTAAAGAATTCTTATTTGAGAGAAGTATACAAGTCAGAATCGGAACAGCTGTATCAGGAAGGTATATGGTAGAGAACGGTACTCCTCAGGGCAGTGTCATTGGCCCTACACTCTTTTCCTTTATGATTAATGATGTTTTTTCTCAAGTTCAGGGTGACATTGGACAGTCGCTGTTTGCTGACGATGGAGCCTTGTGGAAAAGGGGAAAGAACATTAACCATATTAAGGGTAAAATAAAAGAGGCAGTTAATGTGGTGGAAAGATGGTCATTTGCATGGGGATTCAAGTTTGCAATTGGGAAAACTAAGACCGTAGTCTTCACTAAAAAGAGAGGGGTCGATGTTCAGTTAAAGATGTATGGGCAAAAGAT